CAGATAGTGCTTCTTGGGGCTCTCTTATGCTGCTATACTGCTACTGCTCTCTTTATTGGAGCTCTCTTAAGACGTATCGATGCACAAGTAACATAATCGAAAGGTCACCCGCCGCCCCGTCAACAAGTTAAGCTTCGATGACAATACATCCAATCATTCCATTCCCGTTTATCAATATTCATTGACGTAATCCGATTACCCAGCGAATGTAATTGTAATTCCCCTTAGACCCCTTCGAATTCGTCTGGTTGCTGGGGGGCCACCTAGCTCCAGTGCTCTCATTTTCGAATTTCGAAAAACAAAAACAGATTTCATTATGGAAGCTGCGAAAGCACAAAAACAATTATAATGGATCCCTCGAAATGCTCGAGATATAATTAAGTATTTGCAATTTCATTTGATCGAACTCCTATACACTTCCGAAAGCTTACAGTAGGATTGGTAATAGTCAGGGGGATCGACAATGATAATATATATATATATATGTATATATATGTTACATATTATGTGAAAATATAATTGGATAATACCTAATAGATAGTGCCAATTTTCCACGATTTCTTTCACCTATCGCAAAATTTGATAAAGTATCCCTTACCGACATATTTTATCGTGCACCTTAAAATGGTATTAATTTATTGTTTCTGCTGTCTCCGGATCCCTCAAAGTGTCGTATTGACTTTTCCCAATCGATGGGCATTCAGAATAAATGAATTCGTTCGCCGACAGTTTGGTGCACCATATGCCATGTCATTAAGTATTCCAGACAAGTGCATTGTGCATTTCCTTCAACCGCAGAATCGCATCACTTGAGGAGCGATTATTTGCATCATGTTCCCCTCCGGCCCGATGTAAGCTCTCCCAAAGAAAGCTCGTCGACTTCTGGTTGAGTTGAGTCAGGCGTGAAATAGACCCATTTGAATGGGTTATGACCAAAGGACGCTTCGCTCAGCTCCGGCCTGGATGCAATTGGTTGAACTTGAAATCCCACAGATACCCGTACTGCTGTACAAAAGTTTGCATATTCATGGACATGATAAAAGTTTCCGCTCCTCTTTTTCGCCGAGCAGAGCCAACAGGCGGAATATTGTGCACATATGTACAATACATATGTATGTACGACCCATGTGACAGACACCAATGTGTTTTTTCTTCGGTTTTCTGTCTATGTTTGTGTTGTGCGGTAATACCCTTGCAGAGGGTATTTCTGGGTAGCACTCGAATCACTAGAACAAAAATATTGAAATTTTCTTTAGATCAGTATTAATAGAGGACTTCGCGTAAGTCCTATGCTGCTCCCAATATTTTAAGCAGGTCGTGCAGAATTTTTGGAAGTATTGTATTAGCTCTGGCATGGGAACGACAGTGTGTTAAACCCTTCGATATCAAAGTATCTATGCTGTCTGTTGTTGCTGCTTTGTTGCATTTGCATAATGAGTTGCGCTTGGTATAGGCTCTGCCTCCTAGGCGCAGTCAAAGGTCGCTGGAGCAGGTCGCCTTCGTCCTCCGTCCTCTATCCTCTGTCCGTATCTGCCTGAAGCATGCGGCACGTGCTTGTCACTGAAACTGCGATAGTATTTGTGTGCAGCTGTCTGTGGCTCCATGGAAATTTGTTGCGCCAGCGACAGCGACAGCACCGCCAAAGTTTTTGTTTCTGTTTGCAATTTATCTCAAGGTCAGCCAATCCGGCAGTTCATTATCGCAATGGCTGTCGCTGTGGCCCCTATACTGGGGGGCGGGACAAGCCGTACCGACACTGAAGTCAAACAGCAGTTGTCCGAGACAGAGAGGGAGAGAGGAGCATGGAGGAGAATCACGACAAATTCAGCCTTAAATCAATGGAATCCAAAGTAATCAATGAATCTGCCTCTGATATAACTTTTCTCCAAATGCAATTAAAGCTATACCCAGCCAGAGGGCAGAGATAGAGAGAGAGAAGCATGGGAAATAACGGCAGCTGCACGACCACTTGCGGATTACGTATACGCAGTGGCTGCCACCGTGTGCCTGCAGTCAGCTGTCGCTAGCTAATTGACGACAGAACTACGTATATACACATATGTACATACATATATGTTCTTACATAGAGGCAAAACCAAGAGAGAGAGAGATAAAGAGATATAGTGATGTAGCATTGGCTGCTGGAATGATCAAAAACTGCAAGCGAGAGATACAGAGAGAGAGAGAGAGAACAGACCGCTATCTCGGTGACTTTCCCAAAGTCGTGAGCAGAGCAAACACAACACCAATCTCGGTGATTGAAGGTGATTTAGTTGTTTGACATCGGACTGGAGAGTAAGTCCCTTCCGAAGAGGCGACGCTCTGAAAGCTCTCATTCGTTATGATATTTTTTTTTATTCTATTTTTTATATAATTGTTTTGTTTTCGCCAGAAAGCTTTTTGGAGATATTAAATATTTATCATTTTCCTATTTCGTAATATTTCTTCTATCTGATTCGGATATGGATACGGTTTCGTTTCGTGATTATTAGTTATTCAAGGCACTTGCCAATAGCACTATCTATTTAATTAGGAGCTTCTCCGGGCGTTACCTCTTCCTTATCCGGCATTTCCACTTAATCGAATGAACACAATCGGAAAGTCTCTTGGATCTTCGCGAACTTCGTACACTCGCGCTATCTGGGGGATATATCTATCCGTCTATCTCTATGTCACTTATCCAATTGATAGCCCGCTTCTGTGCGTCTGCTTCCAACTGTTGCTTATGCTGCGCGTCACAACTCGTACTCCTGCCAATGTGGCGGGAGGGGATGGGATGGAGGGAGTGCAGTGGAGACCTGACCGGATCTGTGTTTTTGTATTTAGCGCGACTGGTTCACTGTTTCGTTTTGTATTGGAGACGCGCGCGTTTTCTCGCTTTTCCCTGACTGTCATCCGCTGGCGACGCGTTGCTTTTCCACTCTGAATCGCGATTCTGATTCCAATTCCGATGGCGGAGAGCTTTTCCCCAGTAACACCCGAGCCAGCGACAGCGATGGCGAGAGAGACAGGGAGAGAAAGAAAGAACGAAAGAGCACTTTCCGGACTTGCATTCTGAAATCATTTTAATTTATATTCGCACTCGGTTCGCTATTGTTTTTCCAACTGCAATGCAGCTGTAGAACAACAATAAAAGCTCTTCGGGGTGGTTTGAGGTGGCATAAACAACATAAATTTGATAATAGAAGTGCCTTCGCGGAAGCAACTTCGGCACTTCGGGTATACTCAGGGTGCCACCCATACAAACATTTGGAGCGGCAAGGTCACGGCTTTTGTGCGTGCGTGTGTCAAGTGGTTTGGGAAACTGTCGAATTTCCCTTGCATTCATTCAATGTGCAACTGTTTACATGTGTGGAAGGGGCAGCAGAGAGCAGTCAAATCAGTGGGAAAGAGCCATCACAAATATTGCTCATACGTGCCCATGCCCGCGCCTGTGCGGTTGGCTGCCCTGCCGACTCTTGGCCAGCGGACACGTGAATGAAGCGTGTTGGGCGGGGGACGACTCGGGAATCTATAAATAGAGTCAGCGCGGGAAAGCTGAGGCTGAGGCTGGGGGAAATTGTGCCTCTATTTCAACAGAGCCGTCTGTGGCCTCTCTCCTCGGAGGCGTGCTTATCCTTGACTTTTGTCCGGAGCTGGAGGAGGGTTTTCATTAAATGAAATGAACAATTACTGGAAGCGAAGCACGAACAGACAGACGTTGTCATGAAGGTTAGCCAAATGTCATGGGTATGGGTGTCTCCTTTATGGCGCCTCACTCCCACCAGACACAGGCACAGAGAGAGACACAGAGTGAATCACGGGGGACTGCACTTCCAAGTCCACTTTCTTGTTGTCACGTAGGAGCTGCTCGCCAGAGCGAGAGGACTGCATCCTGTGATGGCTTCAGCTGTTATCAGTTTACAGCTGTCCATCGCGTATTCCATTCTTATTTTCCACTATTCACACACACACACATACACAGGCACACACCTCCCACCCGCACTATTTATTTATGGTTTTCCTACTGCCGACGCTTTTCCTTTTCCTGCCAAGCTGCTGGCGTATTTTTAGACCCCGGCAAGTACCTAATCCCCGGCTCTGGCTTTTCAATTTTCTTTGTGCTTTCGCGCTGCGTGGGAGGGGGTAATTAAGGCGTAAACTGGCGCACACTCGAGGCAGGGACCTAAAGGCCCCTCTTCAGTGCACTTACTTCTTGGCATTGAGCGGCTGGCGGTGCAGGGATCCAATTAAGTGGATCCGGGATGTGCATGGGCATTATCAGCGGTGGGGGTGATGGCTGGGCACGTTGCTCTTTTATCGATTTTTACGCATAAATATCTGCTAATCTTTGGAGGAATTAACACTTCGGTTTACAGGTTTGCACTTAAAAAACTATTAACAAGGTTCCCAGAACGAATCCAGCTATAACCGACGGAAAGATTTTTGTTTGGAGGACAGCTGCAGCTGCACTGGGAGGAAAACCGTGAACGGAAATTTGAGCTGTGAAAACTCGGAAAATTCGAGTAGACAGCTGTTCAAGAGAAATTAAGTCTGCGCCACCTGTTCCTAGCTTTCGACCCCCCAACGCCGACTTTTATTGAACCAAAAAGCTTTGAGAGTTCCATAGCAGCCAGCTATAAGAGTATAGCATAAACAAAAATACAAATAAAATCAATGTAAAAAATGCGTCGTAGCGTCCTCTTTGCGTCTGGAAGTACACGTTGGACTGTAGCATGATCATTGTTGCAGGATAGAGGGCGTTACCTTGGCCCGCCCAGCGTGCCGCCCCCAATATTGCTGGTGGTATTGTGGGCCATCTGCTCCAGACACACGGTTCGATCCACAGTTGGCACAGCGTTAACGGTTAACGTATGGAAGAGCGAGGACGTGTGCAAAGCCAGCGAATATCATCTGAATGTGATCGGCTATGTGAGGGGGAGGATTATCGGATGTTTTAGATTTTGTTCTTAGCTTGTAGATTGTTCCGATAATTTTTTCAGGAAAAAGACGAGTTAATTAATTAAATATTTCTCTTTAAATTATATCAAGTTATAGCATTTTATGATGATTCTTATTTTCTCAACAGGTTATTACGGATAGTTAGCAATAGTATAGTCAGACACTAACGAGAAGCATCAACAATAGGTTGCTCTGAAAGCTGCATAGAGTAGATGAGGATCTCCTGCCAAAGGCCTAACATAGTATTAATTATTAATTATAGATAGTAACGAACGAAAGAGTAAGCCACAATTGTAAATCACATTGGGTAACGAAAATCAAAAGCTGGTAGTAAATACAAAAAAAAAACAACAAATGCAGCCAAGTGCTCTAAATAGTTGGATGTTAGAAGTCTAGTCCCGTCCCTGATGCTGGGACCAGTTGCATGCAAAAATAAATCCCCTCTGCATTCCGAAAATATGTATCTCTGTCTCTCTATGTAACGTCTATGGTTAATCACTGTTTGACTGCGTGCATTCTCCTCCTGCAATTGCGGAAGTCCCTTGGGATGCCATGGGATTCCATGGGACAACTGAAATTGGGGGCTATTGCTGGTGATGCTAGATCTGTGAGGTGAGTGTCCCTCGACGCATTTTCTAAATTCGCTTTGCTGCCTCACTGGGCGACTATCTGCGCAGATCGATGACCTTGATCTTTGTGTGGGCATCCTTCTGGATGTGCTGTGCCTCCATGAATAGGGGTGGGTCATTCGGATGCGGATGGAAGCCCGATTGCCGGCACTGGGCGATATAGTCCAGTCCATAGTGGGGCGTGAGTATAAAGAAACCAGTGCTGAGCGTTAAATAATAAAAGCAGATAAGAAATGTATTTCCAGATGAGTCAGCAGCGGTGACTCACGTGTTGTATTTGGGAGCACACACGATGGCCAGGGCCTCGGGCATCATCATCTGGTAGGAACAGTGCGTGTGCAAGTCCACGGAGGACAGGAAAGCAGTCTGGCTGGGATGGGTCTGTAGGGGAACCGCAGATCAGAGACTCGGATCAAGAGCTTATATAAAAAGTAGGGGCTACCCACATGAATCCAGCCGAGCGTGATGAGCTGCATTTGATCTTGCACATCGAATATCTGCTCTTCGTGCATCGTGTTGCAACTGTCCGGCGTGCCCTGCTGCTGTGGCGTGATGATGTGCGTGATGTAGAGCTGGTTCTGGGCCAGATGACCAGCGAGCACGCCGCACGTCTCGATGTTCTTGGAGGTGTTGGCCTTTGCCAGCTGCAGAAATACCTCCATGGTGTCGGCAGGTACGTGGACGATGCGCAATGAACCGGCTAGCAAAGAATCCGTGCGGTTGTACGACGGCTTCTGGTTTCGATCGAAGCTGGGCTTCGAGCTGCGGCAGAAACGGATGAGCGGGAGGGCTGGCAACAGCTTCTTAAACTTGAACTCACTTGGATGTCTTGTCGGAGGACGCGTCTCCTGTTGGGAGCAGTAGCCCAGAGCCCGGCAGGTTGGTGCGATTGGCTCCTGTGGGGAAGTCGTTCGGGTAGACCACCTGATCCAACAGGTCGAGATCCGGGGCCGAGGGTTGGGTACCGTCGTCAATCAACACGTGCAGATTGGCTGGAATGAGCGAGGGTATCACGCTGGAGCCCACCGCCTGCCGACTGGCCAGCTCCCTCTGGCGCTGTCGTTCCCGTTCGCGCTCCCGCTCCAGCTCCTTGACGCGCTCCGCCTCCTTATTGGCCAGGAACTGCTCGTATTCGCGCTGGTAGTGGGCCAGCAGTTTAGCGCGCAGCTTCTCCGTTGTGGGCATGATCTCGTCCTTGATGCGCTTGTTGATGTCTCGCACCTCGGCCTTGACGTTACCGTAGTCCGGGTGCTGGCGAATCTTTTCGATGAATAGGGTCATGTAGCGCAAGTACAGGATGAAGGCGTTTTCGTGGTTGCCCTCCCGCAGGTACACGTTGGCCATGCGCAGCATCTCCGTCCCAGAGCGGTAGTAGCTGCAACGAAGGGCATTCGCCAATTAGCAAGGACACACACTGAGAACATCCTTCAAAGGCAAATGTGCGCTCAAGGTCCCCCTCTGTGACATTGAGACGCCTCGACTGGGACGGCCTTGAGCCATGAGCCTCCTGCCTGGAGGGAGTCCGGACTTACCGCGTCACGGGCTGGTTCTTGTCCACGTCGATGAAGTTGCCGCAGTGCGACAGGTGCTTCATCCGCTCCTGCGGCTCCACAACGCCCATGCTCATGTTGTTCACAGCCTTCGACATGGTTTATGGTTAATGGTTTATGTTTATTCCTCTGCTGCTCCTGGTTTGGTTTGGCTGCTTTGTACTGCTGTGTGGCTAGTGGGTATACTCTGCGTGGGACTCTGGAGACTTCCCACTCGCATTGGTTGTCTGCCCGTCCACTGGGCCAGTGCTGGACTCCTTTTTTGGGGCTATTTTCAAAATAGTATTTTGTAATGATTGTACAAGAATTACTCATTACGCAGGTGGCGTCCACGCCAAAATATACCAAAATATACCTTCCCATTTTAAAAATATACCCTAAATATACTGACGAATTGTTCAAGTTCCATCACATATACTATTCTTTTTTGATATTCCGTCGAATATTACTAGCCAGCTAAGAACCTCAAATTTGAACTTATAATTTTATCCGATTATCTAAGCAATTTCCTACAGGACTGGTTAAATTTAAGTTCTCATCTTTTTTGCATTGCTCCTAAAATAAGGTTTATTCAACAACAATTTCCTCTAAATTAATTTCCTTACATGGTGACTACACACTAACTACACATCGGCTACATATGAAGTACATTTTTGTGTAATTTACAAAAGCAAACGGTCAGGACTTCGATGCTGTCCCACCACACTTGAGCGCCAAATAGAAATTATTTGAAAGTGAAAAGGAACTTAAATACAATCCAATAAATGATGCACGGAAGTACGATTTCTTCAAAATTAAATTTAATAGATTGATGAATTTTATAAAATCTACCACTAGGTGGAAAACGCGCACAGCAGTGCTGCCTAACTTTTAAATATTAGATGCACCGGTCTGGCACACAGCTGGTTCCAGCCGTGATGATGGTAGATTGGGCGGGACCTTTGAAATTCGAATTAAAGGAATAAACAACTTTACTTGCAATTGAAAATTGCTTTTCAAGCTGATGGATATTTTAATAAACATTATCGTATTGGGAATGAATTATTATTGTTTTCTTTCAGAACTTCTGAGCCCGTCTGAATCTGTAGTTTGGCCCGTTGAACGTACCTAATCCGTATCGCGATCGGGGGACATAAAACATGGCTAATCTGGAACTCTGCGATATGGCTATCAACTTTCAGTAGTTATTTTTAAAGACCCCTCACTTGGGCGGTCAATCGTTGGAGCCTCCATTCAGAAGCAGTCCGTGGCTCAGACCTGAAGGAGGGAGGCAGCAGACTCTTCTTGGCAAGCTAATTTTCAACTTATACGAGCTTTCGAGTACCTGCGGAGGTAAGCCAAAGTCAACCAATTCGTAGTGCAAATACTTAGTCCGCAGCTAAAGAAAAGCTGAGAACAATAAAACAATAGCGAATATTTGGTTCCAGGGGGTCAAAGTTCCTACTTGTTTACTTAAGCACATTAGCACTAAGTGGGAGGGCCAATCTATTGCCTCTGATCTCCGGAAACTACATCAGTAAGAGTGCGATATGATAAGCTATCGGCGGATTATTTAAGGCATTCATTCAGATTGGTTATAACCAACAGTGCTGGTCGTGATACTAGCCACACTCGGAGATCACGCAGAGAGAGAGAGAGAGAGAGAGAGAGAGAGAGAGACCCTGATTGAGAGACTGACCAACTGAGAAACTGACTCATGGATCGCACGTACACGCCCACAGAGACCCCGAAAAATCCATTCAGAGCTCGAGCTCGGGTTCGTGGCGGGCTCCCAGTCGAAGCACAGCTTTGGCGCATAGCGGGCGTCATTTCAAGAGATCTCCACTCTCCACAGTTCAGCTCTGCTCTGGTCGGTTCGTTCGGCTTTGGAAGTTGAAAGGGGGCCATCAAGAGTGTCGCGTTTGCATGAGTGCCGTGGAAAGATAAATAGATACAACAGCGAGCTCGGGCATTCGGGGGTTCGTTCGGCGTGTTTTGAAATCCGTTTTTGGAATCGACAAGTCTCGAACAAGTGCCATTGCAGTGCAGCGGGAAATGCTTTAAAATTCCCACCGATAATCGCTCTAATTTGCCAATAATTAGGTGGCTCGCGCGTGTGATAAGCTCTGGACATTAATTAAAGTAATTATGGAATTAGTCTAGTGTGAAGCCTGAAGTCTGTATGTGGTCAATCAGCGGATTGAGTGCCAAGTGATTGAGTGAGACGGAGTCAAGCCGGCCCAAAGGAGTCGATTGCATAATATAATACACGAAAACGAGTCCGAATTGGGTGCAAGCAACCTCCAAGATACAGATACATATGTACATACCTATGTCCATATGCGAACGGCGGTATTAAGTGCGAAGTGTATAAAAGGCTCATCAACCGAAATCTTCTGTAATTTGCTCAATTGGCGCGTTTGTTCGCCGTTGATCAGCGTTTGGCGTCGTGTATCCAAGAGATACTTTTGTATCTGGCTCAGCATCAGCAACATCATCAGCCTCTCTTTCTCTCTCTCTCTCTCTCTCTGTGTAAGTGTGTGCCGGCTGCCATTTCATTACAAAAGTATTGCAAAAGTATCTGAAGCATACGCATCCCAATCCGAATCGAAGCCAAGACCAGTCACAGACCAAACGACCGACCGACCGACCGACCGACCGACCGCCACAGAAAGATACGTGTTTACGATCCCAATTGTATCTGTATCTTGTGCGAAGGCCCTGCAGCTGTTATCGCTGTGGTTTCTGTTGTTGTCGGCTCACGGTGCCAGTGCCAGCATATTTATTTTATTATAATTTCGTTTTCAATGTCAGGCCTGTGGTGTGCGTCCATTATGCAGAGTGTCCGTCCCAGAGGGGGGGCCGGCGCGAAGAGGGGTATCTACTGCTTTACATGCGCGACAATTACTCACTCGATTTCCTATTTAACGCATTCTCTGAGAGAGGGTTCTATATGGTACACCCGCTGCATACAAAAGAAGTCGATTCATCAGCGAAAATTTAAACACAAGTCAGCGGAAAACATGAAAGAAAGGATTCATCTGGACACCGAAGGTGTAGATACTCTTTCTCCTCTAGAACGGTCGGATAGTCCTACAGCGCCTCGCGATATCACAATACCCTCTGTAAGAGTATAACAAAGAGGCAAGCTGTGGGAGGGAGTACTGGGTCTTCAGTGGTACTGGAAAACCCCAACTACTTTTGATTTCAAAAGTACTGACTCTCCCAGATACTGCGACGAGTATTTACACTGCTCATCAGCGACTCGGAGTGGGGAGTTTGAGTCCGCCACTGAAGAAGCCGCCAGCCCAGCTGTCCGCTGTCTTCTGTCCGCTACTTTCGCAAGCTGATAAAAACCGGTTCCCGATCTTTGAGCGCGACTCACCAGCTGATAAGGGAGCCCCGAGCTGCGACTTTGCTTTTGTTATTACTATATTGTTATTATTGATATTTATTATTGAGGATAGACACGCACATTTACATTGATGCGTCTGCTGGAGGTCGCACCAGAGTCCAAGCGATTGATATTTGCATTTTTCCACTATATCCAATTGATAGATGATGGTCGTCGCGTGGAATTGGTTTGGATGGGTGAGTGGAGGGCCTGAGTGCCTCAGTCGTTGCTGTCATTCGATTATCGGTTGGCTCATAATGACTTTGTTGCAAATATTTGCAATCTACTCGACGGTGTTGCCAAATGCGGCTGCCAGATGGGGTTCATTGATTTCCATGTGTCTCATGTCTCATGTCTCATGTCTCTTTTCAAATCAGTCAATTTTTTGTTTTGCTTTGCAGACCACTGTTGCTCGCTGTTAATCCTACGATGGCCATATCCAAGATTGCTTTCTTGGCTCTAATAGCCCTGAGTGGGCTCTGTGGCCTAGCCAGTGCCACCTACAAGGTGGGTGTTGGCCGTGCAGACATCACCGGACCCCCAGTAGAGATCAACTTTGTAAGTGCTTTGAATTGTGGTGACCAGAAAGACTGAGCCCTCACTCCCTCCTTTCTCAGATGGGTTATGCGAACATCAAGCAAGTGGGTCGTGGCATCCACACCCGCGTCTTTGCTCGTGCCTTCGTGGTGGAGGACGAGAAGGGCAACCGGGTGGCCTTCGTCAGCGCGGACGCCGGTATGATGGGGTACGGCCTGAAGCGTGAGGTGATCAAGAGGCTTCAGGCCCGCTACGGGAACCTCTACCACACGGACAACGTGGCGATCAGTGGCACCCACACGCACGGAGCGCCCGGTGGGTTCCTGATGCACCTGCTCTACGACATCTCCATTCTGGGCTTCGTCCCACAGACCTTTGAGGTGATGGCCCAGGGTCTCTATTTGGTAAGTAGAAAGAATCGATTCAAAATGTTACGTCAACTTATTTTCCTTATCCCAAAGTGCATCAAACGAGCCACTGACAACCTGGTGGATGGACGCATCTTTCTGTCGAAGACTACCGTCCTCAACGTGAACATCAATCGCTCCCCGACGTCGTATCTGCGCAATCCGGAGGAGGAGCGAGCACAGTACGAGCACGACACGGACAAGACCCTGACGCAGCTGCGTTTCGTGGATCTGGAGAACAATTTGCTGGGCGCCTTCAACTGGTACGCAGTGCATGCCACCTCCATGAACAACACCAACAGGCTGGTGACCAGCGACAACGTCGGATACGCCGCCCTGCTCCTGGAGAAGGAGTACAACCCGAACAAGATGCCGGGCAAGGGCAAGTTCGTGGGCGCCTTCTGCTCCTCCAACCTGGGTGATGTGTCCCCCAACATCATGGGACCCAAGTGCTCCATCTCGGGCAATGAGTGTGATCTGCTCACCTCACGCTGCCCCGCCGGCGAGGGAGAATGCTTCGCTTCCGGCCCCGGCCGGGACATGGTGGAGAGCACCCAGATCCTGGGGCAGCGGCTGGCGGACGCCGCTCTTGGTCTGCTGAATGAGCAGAGCCAGGAGTCGACGGCCCGCGAGGTCACTGGCGACGTGCGTTTCATCCACCAGTTCGTGGACATGCCCAACTACAACGGCAGCGCCTACAACCCGCTCAGCCGGAAGATCGACAAGATCAGGGGCTGTCAGCCGGCCATGGGCTACAGCTTCGCCGCCGGCACCACGGACGGACCCGGCGCCTTCAGCTTCGAGCAGGGCACCACCACGGACAACCCCATGTGGAACTTTGTGCGCGACTTTATTGCAACTCCGACCCAGGAGGACATCAAGTGCCACGAGCCGAAGCCCATTCTCCTGGCCACCGGCAGGGTGAGTATTCTAAGGGACCTGTCCTCTGATCTGAACGATTTGCTAATGTTTCCGCCTTCTAGGCCACCTTCCCGTACGAGTGGCAGCCGAAGATCGTGTCTGACCAGCTGCTGAAGATCGGAGACGTAATCATCGCCGCCGTTCCATGCGAGTTCACGACGATGGCTGGACGGCGCCTGCGCAACCAGATCCGGGCCGCAGCCTCCGCCGCAGGGGGCCTAGACACGGAAGTTATTATCGCCGGGTTGACCAACATCTATACCAGCTACACGGTGACTCCCGAGGAGTACCAGGCTCAGAGGTACGAGGCCGCTTCCACGATCTTCGGGCCGCACACGCACTCCATCTACATGGACGTGTTCGAGCGTCTGACCAAGGCCCTGATGCGGAACGAGACGGTTGAGCCGGGTCCCAGTCCGCCCTACATGAACGACGTGATGCTGTCCCTCAACACGGGCGTGCTCTTCGACGGACATCCGATCAACACGGACTTTGGGTATGTGAAGACGCAGCCCGAGAAGGAGTACGGAATCAACGACACGGTCAAGGTCACCTACATCTCGGGCAATCCGCGCAACAACCTCTTCACCGAAAAGACCTACTTCACCGTGGAGCGCAAGATCAACGAAGACCGCTGGAAGGTAGCCTACACGGACGCCAGTTGGGAGACCAAGTAAGTATTTCAACGGTATTCCCGCGGGCAAACTCTTCTACCATCTCCAACCATCTTTTGCAGGATGATCTGGCACCGCACCAACACGATTTTGGGATTCAGCGATCTGGAAATATACTGGAACATCAGCCCGCAAACGCTTCCAGGGGTCTACCGAATCCGGCATTCGGGCGAGTACAAGTACATCCTCGGCGGAAAGTACCCCTACGAAGGCCTCTCGCACTCCTTCACCGTCAAGGAGGACTAGGTCGGACCGGAGTGGTTCCTAAATATGTATTCCTGGGCCAGAGGAGCATTGGCCTCTCCGAGAGAGCAACAGCAACACAAATCCATGTACTATATTTATTTACCATTTATAAGTGACGAAGGAAAAGCTTTATTTTTGCAACTGCGAATTAAAAGGATGCCAAATTTTGTTGAAACTAAGGTATGCGATGGGTTGTTGCTTTTGGGTTAATGCTCCACACAGATGTGTATCCAAAAGATACATTCATTCAAATGTTGGACATCCTGCTTGATATCAACGAAATTTTACCTGAATACTTTTTCGATACTCTCCCATACATACATATGTCGGGTTTTTAGTAGAATTCAGATTTTTTTCCATAGTGACACTTACGATGGTGTTGGCAAAACTCTCAAACAGTGGACAGCAATGGGACAGGCAGTGGACAGGAACAAATGGTCAAATGGAAGACAAAGGAACACACTAAGAATAATATTAGGATCCGAAACGTTAATCATTGGAATCGCCCGCAATAATGTCCAGCTGCCACTCATTCACTTTCAAACAATTTCTCGTTGGCGCGCACCACTCGTATCCAGTTGATAGTATCGATAGCCGCTTGGTGGGAGTTGCACCACTAACCATACAGTATATACTGTATGGTTAGTGGTTGCACTCTACATTGTGGGACTTGAGTTGATTTTCAAGGTGGGTATGATTTATTAGTTTCGGCGGTTTTACTCAAGTTCCTATTCTGTTTAAATAAAGGGGTTTTAAGCTTAAATCGTTTTTCCATCGGTATATTTGCAGTGTTTCTCCTGCAACGAACAAATGAGTTTTGATTCAAAATACCTAAGTGGCCTACAGAAAGAGGTATGGGCAAATGTTTGCCTTCAAAATCTTAATTTTTCAAAAATTTCCGAAAAAACATTTTTATATGGCTGATATGAAAAAGTACACATTTCCCCTTCAGGTGTCGCTTTTGTTAATTACACAAAAATTTAGTTAATACATATGTAGCCAATGTGTAGATAGTGTGTAGTCACCATGTAAAGAAATTAATTTAGCGGAAATTGTTGTTGACTTTTTGAATAAACCTTATTTTAGGAGCAATGCAAAAAAGATGAGAACTTAAATTTAACCAGTCCTGTAGGAAATTGCTTAATTAATCGGATAAAATTATGTGAGCAGGGCAAACTGTGTTATCTAGCTAATAATATTCGACGGAATATTAAAATCGAACAATAGGAACAACTATCCTCTGTCGTTTTTTTTGTTTCACCATTTATTACGCAAAATGCAATAAAAGCAAGTGGTTAGAATAAGCCAGTTAAGTAGAAAATTGATTCATTAATCGGATAAAATTATGTGGGCATGGCTAAATGTTGCTATATAGCTGAGAATATTCCTCGGAATATCAAAAACGAGGAATATGTAAAGTAGAACTTGAATTCGTCAGTATATTTACGGTATATTTTTAAAATGAGACGGTATATTTTGGTATATTTCTGAGTGAGGACGGTATATTTTAACGATAAGTCCGCGGTCCACTGTTCACATCTGTGAAGTCGGGAATGTACAGATGTAGTCTGTTTTTATTAATTTGTTACCCGGCGCGAACAACGGACACAAAAGAATTCTGCGCAGAGTAAACGTAAACCAAAGAGAAGCAATTCATAAAATAAAACATAGATATGTGAGAAAGGCATTATTAAGAAAGAAAAGAAGAAAGAAATCAGACTGAAGAGTATTTGGGAAACTCGACGAGGACTGTGTGTGAGGTCCGAGTGCATTTATTTTAGGTAGTTTAAGTGCGTGCGCGATAGATACGTGAAAAGGCATCTCTATAATTGTGCGTGAGTGCAATGCAATCGTGGTGTTCCCCACCCAAGTCGGCAGCGGTGTGAGGGTCACAGTGAAGAGCGGTGAAAAGTGCAAGGGACTGGAAGGATAACCACAACGACGCAGGTGTCTGTCCTTGAAGGCGGAGAAGAAAGAATCACAGCAACAAGTCCAGAGGAAACCGAATTTATGTGAGTCTGAGCGTACGCCTTTCATCCATCCATTCATCCATACATCCAGCAGATACATTGCCCAAAATTAAGAATAGAAATGTCCGCTGGGGCTGACGTGTCTTGTCCCGCTTCCGCCTTGCAGTGATAACAGAATGGTTGGAAGGGATCGTCATAGTCTTAGAGCTGATACTCCACACGGAATCTGGGGCAGAAAAATTGAATTCGATTTTGATTAGAGAGAAATGTTCTCTATCTGGAATATGGAATGTGATTTTTCATCATTTAACTAGTAGAGCATATTCTAGAACATGTATGCTATGTATATATAGATGGATGTACATATGTATGGGTGCGTGTATGCACTTGTTGTCACCACATGGAAACCATTCAATTGTCAGCATGAGCGCTCTCCTCTCCTCGCATCTCCGCTGGCGATAAGCGGCTATACATATATCTGGACTCGAAAATGTCTGTGTAGGCATAGTCTTCTACATGTTTGCCTCTGTGAGTGAGTGTTTATATAAAGGCCGGGAATAGGGGGACTGGCGGAGGAAGCTGCTTCGGTCGTCCCGTCACGTAGTCAATTGTTGGCATTTGTTTTGGTTTTGTTTTCCTCTCTTCTGCACTTGCACTCTCTCTCTCCCCCTCTCTCTCTGCTTCGCTGAAAGGAAGGGAAGGGAATCCACCCTCGTGACTGGAAGGAACTAGTGCAGGCACAGGAAGGAACATGGAACTGGTTCCAGGCGCATGCCTTGCCAACCATCACGAATATCCTTTCCCCACGTGTCCTGTGTCTCCGCTTAGCCAGGACATAACCCCGTGCGTTTGAAATAGATTTTTATTCCAATTAGAATAATTTCTCTCCACTCGACTGGCGGCTGCCGATTCTCCACAAATTGGAGGCTGGGTTCTGATGATAAATCAAGGAATTATCTGTTTTTTAAACACAATCGCAGAGTGGAGCGGCTCCAATAGATTCAATTAACTGGCGATTTGTTTTAATTAATGAGTTTCACAAATTACATTCGGCGCGTTCATCGGATCGGATCGCCAGTTGCGTTGCCCAATATTTGGTTAATATTCGCTAATTAGTCGAGCAATGAGAGTCGTCCGTTAACCGGTTACTCATGTTGCACCGCAAATAGAGGTGGATCCGGGCACCATCTCCGCCCAGTCCGATTCCATATCTGACGATAATTTGAAAACGAAAGTCACTCGCGGTCCAAATACAGATACATGTTTGGGGGGAACGGGAGTGCAAGGAAAGTGTTGACTACTTATCAAATGGGGGCTCCAGCTCCCACTGGCCCACTTGCCTGCTGTCTGGCCAAGCGCCCCTGCCCGGGCCCCTTCCTCTTGCCACGACTCCCTCTCGAGCTCATCTTCATATCTGGCTTTTTTATGAACACTTTGGACCGGTTTGCGCTGCCATTTCATTTTCATTTATGCTCACATTTCAAGGTGAATTGTAATATTTATGTGTGCACACGCTCCATGACGGCATCTGTGTGGCATCTGCCACGGGGATCCGGACGAGGGGAGAGGACTGGGATTGGGACTGGTACTGGGATTGGTATTGTCATTCATTGCTAATTAGCAAACTCGTTGAATGCACTTGAAAAACTCTCTCCCCGGACGGATCCTTGCTTCCTTGCCTCCTGCCTTCCCATCTGAATCTTTAATGCGGATGGGATGTCATTTTCCCCAACCAATGGGGACGGGCGGGTTGGGGTTGGGGTTGGGGCTTGGGGCTTGGGTCCCTCGCCCATAAAAGTTCAGCGCAATCAAATTAACGCTTATGGAATTGAAAAGTTTGTCCTAGTCTCTGCTGTTCTCTCTGTAGATAGTAGATACACCCGTACCCGTACCCGTACGCGTACCCGTAACCCGTAACCCGTAACCCGTAACCCGTAACCCGTAACCCGTACTCGAACTTCTATTCGCAGAAGTGAAACTTTTGCCTGCAGCTGACAAATCACATTACCCTTGGGTGACTGACTGTCTGTTAAGGATGGATGGCCTCTGACCTCACACTGCGTTGGCAACATGTGGCAAGGCTAACCGAATTACACTTAGCACACACAAATTGTTTGCCCAGTATCCACAGAATCCACAGAATGAGGTGGTTAAGCGGGGATACTACAGAGACAGAGAAAGAGACACTCTCCGTGCACTTGATATCCCAAGGATGAAATCCTGGAGATGAGAGCCATGTCTAAGAATCGCTTTCCAATCCTTGGTTACGGGCCAGAGACCCTCTTCCAAGTTAGAGCAGATCCAAGACTGGGGCTTGATAATGACGATAATGAGATGTGGTTATCGAGGAGACGAGACGAGCCGAGACGAGGCGCGTCTAACAGGCCCATTAAGTCACTGAATTAAAAGAAAAAGTCGACTCGGCATCAAATTACAGTGTAGAAGAGACCAGCGACACTGAAGACTGCGACTGGAGACTGCGAATGCCGTCAATTCGATTTTAATTATGCATTCGATCAGGCAAATTGGACAAATCGAGTTGTGGGGAGTCAGAGCCAGAGTCGGAATCGGAATCGGGCGTACGCGCTGGAGGAAGCCGTACCCAATGCGAATTCCGAATGGGCAAATGTCACAACAGCCAAAGAAGCGAAGCAGCAGAGGTACAATAGGCTATATAGCTAAGGTCAGTCCGGGGGTCTGACATTTAGCAGACGGACAGACAGACACTAAAGGGGGAGCAGTTTGGCGACTTCGTGCCACATTAACAGCCAGCGGAGTCGGAGTCGGAGTCGGAGTCGCCACAATTCTCACAGAGTCTGGGCCCCGCTCCAATTGGATGCGGATGCATAGTTTTGTGTCTTTTTTGGTGGCTCATAAATGTCGTTGGCTACTGGTTGCTGTTCCTGCTGCTGCTGCTGTTTCTGTTGCTGTTTCTGCTGTCTCTGAGTTATGACTATGGCCCCGGCCATCTCGGACCTGCTTCGGCAGCTACCTCCGCTGCTCATAAAATTGATGGACGACATTGTGTGGGCCAAGCGAGGCGAACCACATGGACGGACGGATAGATGGATGGATGGATGGGTGAGGTGCGGTCGGCCTTGCCAGAGAAATAGCACTGTCCTGCGACATTTGCACCTGAATAATGATGTCGGGCTGTTCAAATTGTCTCGTTGCATTTTTATAGAATTTCCGTTGCCTGTCGACAGTTT